GTCCATCTCCATGAGGTTTCTCTCTCTAAATTGCTTTCAGCTAAAGTGGTTTAGATGTCTGGGACACCTAAAGCTGCTTAACAATAGTTAATTACCCCTATCAGCTTCTGTAGGCATGACAGACATCTAAGTCGTTTAAGTTAAATACAATTAGATCACATTCACAAGGAGTTGAGCCAGGCTTTACAAATCCTGGGGACTAAATATGGCGGTCGTACATGAAAGAAAAACCGCCTAATCTTTTAATAGTCTCTCCGCCTCTCGCACACCTCCCCACACGTCGTCCCTGCGGGGGGACAGTCATTAAATCTCGGCTCCATTGGGACGACACATGGGGAGGCGCGTGAGAGGCGGAGAGACTATTAAATATTAGGCGGTTTTTCTTTCATGTACGTCCGCCATATTTAGTCCCCAGGATTTGTAAAGCCTGGCTCAACTCGTTGTGAATGCGATCTTAGTAATTCCCTTGGAGATAGTTCGATCTAAAATTTATATGATAGGGTCTGTGAATGGTCTTAAACAGCATATAAACTGTACACAATGTTGCCCATTACCTTGTCTTGAGCACTGAGTACTTCTTGGCCCAGAACTGCTTACTTCTCTGCCAAAAAGTTGAGTTTTGTTTCATCTGATGAAGAAGTTTGTTCTTCAGCGCCTGTCTGTAGCTTTGGATTTGTGGGTCATCCTCTTTACTTGTGGCTGCCACCCCAGTCTCTACCTCTTGAGCCAGTTCTACAGATATCGAATAAGATTTCTATTGAGTTGTTATCACTGCATGGCATTTCCCATAAGTGGAGCAATAAAATTTTCTTTGAATTATATGAATGAAATATATGTAATGCATTTATCCTAGGCAACTCTCTTTAAAATACTGTTTTGCAAGTGGAGTTAACATAACCAACTGTTAGAGAAAATTTTAAAAGCAAGCTTAATTAAATGACTAGACTGATATTTATCCTTCTTATTGGTATAAAGTATCCTGTAGTCAAAATGAATGTTATACTGGTATAATTTTTCATTTAAAGCTATTACCTTGCATTCTATTTTCATTTTCTAGTTGTTGCTCATATTCTGTGACATTTTTCAGAAACTCGTCCTCTGTGGTATTGCAAAACAGATACATGTAGCAGGAGGGGGTTTCAGACACAGTGTAGACATTATGGAATTTACCAGGTGGCAGCTGAAAGAAAGTGAGAAATTTCACATAAAACAATTTATGGCATTGTCAAGTATTGTGAAATTTACTTTCTAAAATGAAATCATCACTAAAAATGATCATGCATGTAAAAAAACTCCAGGCTAACACAAACGTTTATTTGCCAATGGCTTAACATAAATCTTTTCAGTTTTTTTTTATTGCACTTCTCAACTTTTTCCATATTTAAATTAGCATACGTTTCTCCAAATGACACAAAAGATGTAGCCAACACACATTGTTTTAGGCGTTTAGGTGTGTGTTACTGATCACGAACATCCAACAACTCATAGCTGTTGAACGTGCAGTTTCTCATAGCCTGCCTGTTCAATACATAATTACCACCATCTTGCGACCGTTGAACTGGAAGAGAGACCTTTACACAATGTAAGTCATTAGTGTTACAAACCTTCCCAATGGAGATGACTTACTACTGCAATCATAATGACACAACTTATCAGCCTACATACAGTCCAGTACCTGATTTCCCTGATGAATACAACATGGTCAAATCCCAGCCACAACATACGGGATTAAACATCATGCTATAAAGCAGTTATAAATGCAAATAAAATGACCTTGCTTTTTGTCTATTTATCAAAAAGCACAGTATAACCTAGACATATAACAAGTTTTCCACCTGCTGTCTTTTTCATTAAAAGGATAATGCCAAACATGTAAAGCTGAGGCTTATACTGTAACACATCCCTGCCAACCTTAACAAACCACCCACCCCAATCACCGAAGCAGGTTAATCCTAAACAACCAACAATAAACCAGGCGCATTTTTTTTTAAATGTCAAAACATCTCTGGAGTACGTGACATATAAAATGAAAACAATTAAGTCAGACAACTGGGAGACAAAACACTTCACAAGAAAACAGGAAGATTAGTATCTATGAATGTTGTGACATTTTCAGAAGGATCACATATTAATTAATCCAAAGGCAAACTCTCCAGTTCCCACACGAACTATTTACAGATTGCAGAATTTCTATGAAGACTTCATCTTTAGCTGATATTGGTGTTTCAATGTGTTCCCTGGGGATTGTCAGATACATGCAGAATATTGTTGAAAACTAACAGCTAGTATTGATTCAGACATACTCATTGAAAGTAGCCAAAATGTAATTTACTAATAATAAACAAAAAATAAGATTTGCATAACAGAGTTTAACACATTAAGTGTCACAGTAAATAGAAATTGCAATTCATCATTACTTTCATTGTGTCTCCTTCCTTCAGTGATCTATTTTTCTTCTCTTCAACTAACTCTACCACCACTTCCCCTTTCAACACTGTCAAGCTTGTGTTTCCCAAATCTGCTTGTACAAAGTTCTCTAAGTGAAGTCCTGGAAATTACAATTCAGCAGATATTACTGATCTGAAGGCCAACTGAGTGTTACAAGATGAACATCACTTTTCATAATAAATAAAAGGGTTCTTAAATTTCATTGACTGCAAAAGTGTTCTTGTTTTTCAGATTTACTAGCAACAGTTTTTCATTAAATGTTAGAGTATTGCAGTTTATATTTTATAGAGATGATTGGGTCATGTGTCAAAGCATATCACAGTTTATATCAAGAGATAATGGTTACATTTTTCACAAGCAAACCCTGCACCTACACTATGACAACTTTTCCTTCAACTGAAGTTTTTCAATTTCTACAATAAATATGAAAGTATTTCATTTTCAGCTACTAGCAAAAAATATTGCATTCAAACATATTATCCACAAGACCAGCACCTGGGAAATCAGCCACAAAGACCACATCAGTGGTGGTGTTGGTGTTGTTATAAATTTGGTCTTCTATTTCATCCATCTTGGCCCTCCAGTCAGAAAGGTCCACCAATAGTGGCATCAGCCAGGATGTGGCCTTGAAAGGGTGCCACTCTGCGGTCAAGATGTCCACACGGGGGTCAAACATCCTGTAGAACATTCACAAGGTATTCAATATTTCAGGTTGTTAGTGCATTTTCACTGAACCAAGTTGAATTGGAACTACTTCAATGTTAGTTTTCACATGTCCGTCAAACTAGTTTTACACAAATCACTGTGTTAGGTGTGACAGTATGATAGATGGAATGTGTTAGGTGTGGCAGTGTGATAGATGGAATGTGTTAGGTGTGACAGTGTGATAGATGGAATGTGTTGGGTGTGACAGTGTGATAGATGGAATGTTTTAGGTGTGACAGTGTGATAGATGGAATGTTTTAGGTGTGACAGTGTGTTAGGATCAGACTGGACAGAAAATTATATGTTGCTGATGCAAGCGTTTTTCACTGTTAGCAAAAGTTGATGGATTCTAACCAAAAACAAAACTTAGTGTGATAATGTGTTGGGTGAGACAATTCCATATGTAAGACAAATAGACTGCTTTTATTATAAGAACTGTAAATTTTTGATATTCATATATTTTTGACAATTCATTTTTAATTCCATTGGAAACCATTCAACTGTTAACACCAAACTCTGCATAGCTCAAATTTCAATGATGACAACCCTGGGTTACATAAGGTGCTGTCATTTTAAAAAAAAAGTCAAATATAGACAACATGTTAACTTAAAGAAAACAGGACATCCATAACAAAATACACATAATGTTACTACCTCTGTTGAAACCTGTTATTCATGGACTTCCATATATCAAAGGTAAGCTCTATGTTGGTCAGGTTGTACAGTTTCAATCTGTCTAAAATACAGGTGCTGAACTGTTTCAACATGTCCGCATGGGATGCCCAGCGCTTGCTTCCAGTGAAAGTCTGGAAATAAAATATACAGAATAGAAGAAAAGGTAAGTTGAAACAGTGTGTTAATTTAACTGCAAGTTATAAGAACAGAAAACAATGGATTGGTATGGTAAGGTGCAATGGTGTGTCGTGGTATTTGTGACTGAATTATGGTGTCATAGTACATCTGTTTGAGTTAATAATTTAAAAGTAACTGAATAATAAAAAATAATAAAAAATCAATTTGATATCCAAATATAACAGATTTTGTAGAAGTGATGATACTTTGAAAAACTTAAATAAAAACCTTGAATATGACGATACGTCAGCAAAGCTTGGTTTAACTGTGTCAGTATGATTTTGTGATTTTGCTAAATATGAAAATGCTTTAAAAAAAATCTTTGTACACTTGCCCTTGGGTTCAGGTACCCCACTTCTCCAGTTTCTTTATTAACATATGTAATTCTGATATGTTGTGATGACCATGTGTGAACCATCATGTCCCAGGAATAACCATACAAACCATTGGTCCAATTATTATAGCCCTGGAATAGAATGAAAAAAAAAAGAAAATAAAGAGAAAAAAATACCAGGTAATTTTCGACCCCAATCTGACTAATTGCATTCGCTGGATATCATTTTCAAACCTAGCTAAACTCATAAATTTCTAAGAAGGATTGATTTTTTATTATTCATACCTTTGTGAGAAAATGAGAGTATGGCAGGAAACACTGAGTGGAGATATAGCTGACAACGCACAAGGCAGCCATCTTGTGAAAGAATTGAGGTGAGCTGTGTAAGAGTGGTCTTCTTTGTTTGTTATTTTCAGATCTGGAAGAACTGCCATTTTTTGTGGGCTGGTGACCATTTTCTCTTTCATCTGTTCTAATGTTTTGTTGGTCCTAAAATACATTGAAGAGAAACATACACATATAATTTACTTATACACGTCAAGTAAGGAGCATTTCTTATGAAACACTTCACTTTCACCATTTTACAGCATGGCTGTTCTTTCCTACATCTACAAGTTCAATGGCAAATGCATATCACATTTTTTCTTAGAAAAAAAATCAGTAATTCAAGTGATTGTGGCAAGTTTCCAATTACTCGACTCATTCTGACATTATCAGCATAGAAATGAACATCCTAGACAGGTTATTTAGCAACCAATGACATTTATCATCAGAGACACAAATAAAATCCATCCCAGCAGCCCGGCATCAGGGGCAATCAGCAAATGAGACACATCTGATGTATTTCACCAATCTCATCTCCTAAAAGAGCAGCTATAACCTCTTTAATCCTATTATGGAAAAGCACTTTAGTATGATGTGATGATATCGGGCAGACACACAATGTGGATATACATTGTACATATACATATATTTATTTTATTTCATTTATCTATGAACAGGTAAAATACTACAACCAAAGGACTAAAACCTTTGCAACAAAATGATATATTTATGTGTGAATACAACTGGGAAGGAATCGTGATTAAAAGCACGCCTACTAATACCTAAATGCCAGGCTTCTTAATGATTTTGTTGTTTGTGCAAGTACAAATGAGTGGGTGACAAAGACAATTATACAAATGCCCCATCCTACATGCTGTGCTTCTTAATAATTTTGTTTCCAGTCTCTGTCAAATCTCTTGTGATTACCTGAGATATCTTGAATTACACAATAGAGGGAAAAAGTAGTATAACAACTGTATTGGTAGTAATAACTCACAAAGTAAGCAAATATGGTGCTTCTTCTATATGGTTATACATATAAGCAAAATGCTTTGTCAAATAGATCTCCTTACACTCAAAACGACAGTTCCCTCATCAAGTTATAAATCAAAAGTCTAACAGCTGTAGACTGAGAGAATAATTCTACTGATGTAATGTTAAAATAACTTTGACAAGAAAAAAGTGCATGTGTCAAGTACATTCAGTACAATTATAATAGCTGTAAGTTCAAAACACACTTGTCATGTCGCATTCACATGTCACATTCATTTGTGTTATTTTCATCAGCTTTATGACAAGTTAATCTGTTAGGTGTCTGTATCACGTGAAGTTACGTGTGTACTTGTTGTAATTGTGAAGCTGAATCTCTCTCTCTCTCTCTCTCTCTCTCTCTCTCTCTCTCTCAAATGCTGCAACCATTAAATGTAAAAGAAGAATTAATTCAGACTACCCAACATCATACCTCAGGTTTGACCACCTCTTTGGAGTAGAGGCAGTGACCACTGGGCTGAGCCTCGGTGTCCAGCGGGAGGACAGGGGTCAACCAGCATGGCATTTTTCTGAAGAGTCTACGCGGCAGGTCCATGTGACAGAATACAGGCTGAGTTGCTAACATGGTCCATGGAAACATACCTGGAAAAAAGTCCCACTTTTCAGCAAATGTTATTAATAATGAGTAAGAGTATATTTTGCTCATTTTTCTTTTTTTGTGTTTTTTTGCCTTTAACCCCCCTATGTGTATGTTATATACCTCAGACCTTTTGATACAGAAACTCTAACCCTCTGACATGTAAATACTCTGCTTTCCCAAATACAAATTATTTGTCATTTACCAATGGGGCTATACGCGGAGCCGTTTGTCCTAAAGAGGGCGCTGGGGTAATAGTGGTTATTGAAGATAGCCTCGTTTTCGCGTCCGTGTAGAAATGGCTTTAGAGTATGGGAAGCAAACGGTGGCGAAGTTAAAACTTCAACTAGTTGAAAGAGGAGCCTCCACAAGAGGAAAAAAAACAGGATTTGATAGAAAGGTTAGTGTCTTTACTTATAAATGTGTCAGTTGTATCACTAACATTGAAGGTTTCGCGCTCGAATCTTCCCGTAAAATATGGGGTTCTGTGTGAGCTCCCTATCAAAAGCCAGGTGTAAGCGGCGGCTAGTTCCGCACTACTTATATGCCTAATTTATTACTATATTTCAAGAAAATAATATTGTCATTGCATATTTCCATATCCCGAGAATATAATGGAGGTATTTATGTTTGAAATATGTTTATTGTAGGCACTCCTAGTCGATAAAGGACCGTTCGTTTCAGTAATCAAATTTCGTGTACCAGGTCCGACATGCGTGTTTTATGTCAATGACAGTTGACATAACTAATTGTCGATAAGGTAGACAATCTAAACACTGTTTGCCAAGAATGTGAGCATCGTTTTGTTAGCATCATTGTTTATTTCACTCCCTCATAACCTTGCATTGATGTTGGTAGGTCACAGAGAAGGCAGTGTCAGAACTTGAAAACAGAACTAGAGGCCAAAGTAAAAGTCGAGTGTGGCATGAAGAAAGATCATGGAGAATAACAGCATCGAGGTAGGTGTGCAAACGAAAATAAGTTTGCTAGTTTTTTACTTGTTCAAATGTCTTGTATTAATGTCATGTCATAGCTTGAGCTACTATGTACCTGTAGTTGCATTATAGTACAGAAAAACAAGGTGTGAGATGATATATCATGGTTTGAAGGTCACAATTTAATGCTATGAATGTACAATTTCATTTTGCATTTGAAATACAAATTGAAAAGAACAGTAAAAAAACAATCATTAATTTGATTTTATTTTTTAGGTTTGGTGATATTTTGAACGCAACCGAAAGACGAGACAAGGTCAAATTATGCCATTCACTCTTGTTTACCCATGAAATCAATACTTCATATTTCTTAAATTTTACAGGCGTATAGTCATCAACAATGTCACGTTCTGGCTAAATGTTCATTTCACTGAGCTGGAAAAACAAAGTTGATCCATGTGCGTTTTATTTCTGACACCGTTGTTACCGATAGCTTGAAACGGTCAAAATGCATAATGGTAAAAAACATTGGTCCTCTGGTGGCAAACATTTGAAAGTCAAGCGGTGAACTGCTGGTCCAAGGCAATTGAAAAACAACATGAAGTGTTCAAAATGACTAAATCCAGTTAGATACTGGACAGCCTTTGCATTTTGCCGGTACAGCATGATGCTTTCTCTTGTGTCTGATGATCTAATGATATCACACTGGGAAGCTGTACTTTCTTTTTGGCTCTCACCAGGGCAGTCTTCATGTTTGTCTTCCACTGCTTCATCTGCTCGAGACTTAACCTATAGGATACAACAAAAAAAAAATACATTATACATCATGTATTAATTAACGCATAAAATCGGTGTAGATGACAGAAATAACGTAGATCTGACTGCCTCTTGTCCCCTTTAGTCCGTCTCTAGTATTTACACAGTATTTACACAGATAATTATACAAATAAAAAGAAACATTTTATTTTTAAATCTGTTATTATATCATGCGTTATATTTACCTCCATGAATATAATCAGGAGCTGTTAGTAGGCCTACTGTCACCGGATCTGATACTTTGCAGCGTTTAGCTAGACGGCTGATGATAGTACGTCTTTCACTTGATTAAATGGACATATATGCTATCGTTCCTGGCTTCAGTCTTTTTCTCTCATCTGCAAAAGGAGTGCACATAACGATTATTAATACAATAAAAATCAAGTTGTCTTAATTTGAAAACGTGGCCTTTAAAAAAACTCGTGGATTATCATATAAAAACGAAGAAATAATTGTATTGGCTGGTCGGGTTTGACCCGGGCTCGGTAGCTTAGTCGGTAGAGTGTTTTCTCCCCCGAAATCGCTACATAATGTTAGGTGAAGAATGCCTTAAAATTAACATTCTAAGCACGTTACACGATATAATTACTTAAACATCGATAACAAACACCTAATGAATAAGTTGACAAACTCATTATTAATACTAAAAGCGACAACAGCAAGTACAACTTACGTAGAAGTGTAATCTTCCTCACGAAAGTGGAGGAAACAGACTTTGTCATGTGCCTTTGGTTTCCATAGTGTTTTTGATGTAGAATCAACCCTCCTGGCAGCTCTCCCCTGGTAACTTTGCTTTGTGTCTTTCGGAAAGAATGACCTCCTGTTGACGATGTATATTCCAGAACACAACAGTATCCTGGCATTATTTAGAGCGATATTTACAGCGTCAGATTAAAAATGAAACTGCAAACACATGAGAAAGTACGCGCATGCGCAAAAGTACCCCAACTAAAACACGCGCGCCACCCAGTGGTGAAAAAAACTGATAGCCCCATTAGCCCATGTTGTAGCTAAAATGGTTTCAAAAACAGTTAACAAATATACCAAGCTGAGATCAATATCTATATATAATTTGAGCATTTCTACCCAACATATACAACCAAATATTATCCTGAACACAGAGCTTTGTTCGTCCTGGTATATTCAATCTAATTTCTATCAATTTTGAAAAATATCTATTTTTGTAGCATTTCTGAGTAGAGTACCTACCTATACTGAACATTTGTGAGTTCATGAGATGGAATAATGAGCCTATGACAAACCCTATAGGTCTGGTGGCATCAAAAAAGTATACAAAGCCAATGAACAGGTCTATGGTTAACCCACCAAGATGGACTACATATAGGTCTATTTGCTCATCAGTGAGAATGAATCTGAAATATCACATCACAAAGTGGATTTTATTTATTATTTTATTTATTTGCAGTGTTATATTGTATTGTTGTGCTAGCTATCAAGCACAGGTTTTGACTTCAATTTCAAGCAGATAAAATTGTCAAGACATTTTATGTCCAATTTTAAAACTAAATCATATCTAAAACACTGCCACGCCTGAATAACAATAAGTCATACCAGTGTTTTATGTAATCTTTCATTTCAAGCACTGTCTTACNGCGATCTGGAAATCAGTGAACTTTCACAGTGCTTGCTTTTTCATCAGGTGACCAGATTGCAATAGATTGATGGTGGAATAGCAAAGTGCTTTTTAGGGCAGTTTTATTTGCTGAAAATGCTTTAGGCTTCAACACATATAACTGAACTGATGCATGCATATAGAGAAGAGCCACTAAAAGAGGAAGCAAAATAAATGAAATACTTCTGGATTAAATTCAGTATTGCTTTTTTCTTGGATTGGCTAAAAGAATCAACATGCAATAATTTTGATGACAAATACACAGATGCTAAACTAATGACATCACACCTTTAATTTCTTTGGCAAAAATTAATGATTTCCTCACTGGCAAAAAGTCCAGGGTTAAAATGATTACAAAGAAATATTAAGACAAAGCTAAATGACTTCTGTATAGTGAAAAATCTAAATCCAATGTTATTTTCCTGAGAACTCATTTCCTGCAATGAACTCCCAAGAGTCCTGTGCTTAACCAGCAAGATGGAAACCATTAGCAAGAAACAAGACAGAGAAAAACAGAGTAATACAATATCACAAGTGGATGCTAATGTTTTTAGAGTAATTTATCGACAAACAACTCCAAGTATATAAAATGGTTGTTGCAGATAAACATTACAAATGTCATATCCCAATGTGAGATATCACTGAGGCTTCGTTCACATGGAAAGTCTATTTTCTAAAAATCTATTTTCTATTCGCGGAATATCTTGTCATCACGGTCTGAATTAATTACAGCTTTGTATAAGTAACTGGCTCGCGCTGCCAGTAATTACACTGCAGGATATTCAGGGCACAGACCGTGATCATAAGATACCGCGAATAGAAAATAGATTTTTAGAAAATAGACTTTCCATGTGAACGAAGCCTTAATTAATTACAATACTGCAGGGTCACACACAAAGCAGAAACTAGTCCGTTTTAAACTAAAAATGTATGTCATGCAAAACAAAATGCACTAATGTTTCTTTCAAGTGCTCACAAAACACATTCAAAACTCATTTTAAACCTCAATGCACATAACAATCTGGATATATCTGCATGAGGAAATACAATAAATGCATGCCACTGAGACTTCTCTTGATAACTCTGGATTATCTATCCTAAGATGCTGGATTATTGTGAAAAAAAAAAAAAAAGCATTGCAAAAGAAGAGGAAATTACCTGTGTTCTTATTAATGTATAATTCCACAAAGGAACATGGGCATTTCTTATACTAGGCCTCAGTAAGCCATCCACTGACCTTCAAAATGTGAGAAAAAAATAAGGTGAAATTAGGAAGAGGTCAAATACATAATTTAATGATGGTACGCATTTAACTTACTACTAGCAAACCTGTTTAATAATAAAAATATTAATGAAAATAATAATAATAATAATAACCTTTATTCAAGCACACTTTTACAAGACTATTACCTAACAATTACATCATCCAATGAGGACATAAATGTCATCATTCATCAGACAATTTACGGGTGTTAGTTCTTGATTAAAGCAATAATAAGTCTTCCTTTGAGATTCAAAATTCCGCAAGAAATACATTGTAAACAACGCATGGAAATATATTCTATTGCATTTTACAACTAAAACGGTCGTTATTGTAGTACAACTAAAATCTGTGCTTGTCAATAGGGCTTTCGATGCCTTTCTTCCCGGTCGTTAAGGCATCCGTTGCCAATGACGTTGGGATGTCACGCAGATTCTCGCATTCATTCGAGACCAAAATAACTTCGGGCGCGAAAAGCCTGATGCAATAGGCAGACGTAAGTTGCAAGTTTTTGTATAGTGCGTCGGATAACAAAAAGCCCAGAATAGCGCACATTGTAGATATAAATGCATTTTGAGCAATAAGACAAATATATCTTATGAATCTTATATTATTGTTATATAGTGGTGTTGTTGTCTGCTTTTCCCGCGGTTTTAAGTGGGTCACCAGAAACTATTGCTCGATATCGCGTGACTATGCAATGTCAGAGAGGGCTCCGTCAGTTAAAATCTCTTAAGAGATTTCAACAAAAAACCAAACGTTTAGGAAAAAAAACCTGGACTAACTTTGAATGCAGGAATGGGGTCGCTGACCATTGGTAAGTATGGGAAAATTGCCGTTTACTCCAAGAAAATCCCACTTTTGGCCAAAACGAAGAGTTATTATGACTTTAAGGAAACACTTTTTACATGGTTAAAATGCCTTATACATTCCACAATTATATAGACAATGCTAGTGTGGTGCTATATTGGTGAAAAAGTGTAAGGTTTCAATGTAAGAGTAAAATTGTGTGATAAGAAATATGTATGATAATGTGTAAGGAAAGACTGTAGTAAAATGTATTAGGTGTGTTTGTGTATGTGTGTGTGTATGTGCATGTATGTGCATGCGCACCCCATGAACATATATGCACATGTGTGTGCAGAGTACAACAGTATGCTACATGACAGAGCATCACAGTGATTGAGTGGCCTACCAGTATCTGTTGGCATCCATGAATAGCAGCTGTATTCCAATGAGACCATAGAGATAGGAATGGTTATTCCAGACTGTCTTGTCTAACAGGTACACATACCAGTAGGAACATACAAACATCAGACAGCTCAGGCGGTAGAACATACCCAGCATTATACCACAGGCACCTGAAGTTAAAATACCAAAACTTATACCAAAGAATACATGCCAAAATTATACCAAAGGCACCATAAGATACATGTAGTATAAAAAATAATTTTGATGACAGTTTAGGTGGAACTTAGCACTTATCATTTTACTAGATGAAAGATGACAAAAAATTTCATGTTTGCAACCTGTACAATATACCTCATATACATAAAGAAAGACTATGCTGAACATTAATCTGAAGACAATTGAACTGAAATATATGAAACATTATTCCACAGTCACTTGAGGACAGAACATCCCCAACATTGTCAAGCAGGCACATATATTATAAGTACACGTTTAAAGTGTCTGTGATATTTCTTAATCAATAGCTTATATTGACACTGTTCACTTCCATAAGTGGTTCCATAAGCAACTGATGAACTTCTTTTCTGACTTTAAGAAACCTGTTAGGCGTTAGTTTTCAAATATGAAGTTGAAAATAAAATCCCATCAAAAAAATCTATTTTGTATCAAAATTTATTATTCAACACAAATAGCCACTAAACAGCTCTGAACTATCATCAAATTGCCAAATAACTTATGGCACTTTGGCACCCTATTAACCCAATCACTTTCCAGTAAGGCTTGTAATATTCCCCAGACATTCTAAATCTGTCAGAAGGAAAAAAGCCACCAGGACTAAAATGAAATAAAGAGTGATCTTGTTTCTGTAATATTCTCCCCCTTTCTTCTTTTACAGAGGAAGATATAGTGATAAGCATAACATATGATATTCTAAATTTCCAGTTTTAAGTTTTTAACATTTTGGGAATTATACACTTTTTATTGATCAAGGATTTATAAATCTTCTGGCCCACAGGGCTAGACAAAAAATTTAAAGGCACTCAAGGTAGGATCTAAAATGCATTTTAAGTGCATGGATCACTTCTAGTTGTATTCATCTGAGGACAATTCAAACTTTTAAAACAAAATAAAGCCAAAAGGTAAAACTGTCTACCACTTATTGTGTTTACGCTGAAAGTGCACACCTGTGTCTGTACATAAAAATGACGGATAAATAGCCTCAATCCATATAGCAAAAAATAATCATATTCACTGTCCCCTGTTCAACCTTGGTAGTCAGTCATCTTGACACAGTTTGAAAAAAAACAAGTGACGCAGCAAAAGTCTCACAATATCTGGAAGTCGAGTCAGTGGAATGAAAGACATATCTGGAAAACCTCTGCTTATGTGCGGGTTTTGTTCTTTGGCCTTTTCCAAAATTGTTATAGAGTTATGACAGGTGTCAGGAAAGAAAGATTAAAGATAGGTGAATTGGGGAAAATGCCATTTACCTGGGATCATTTGTTAAATATTAATTTTAACACAAAAAAATCTGCCTTTGGGTACCTCTGACCATGATCTTCCTCACTCTTGACAAGAGATAATATCACTTAAATTTAGATTTCTGCTTCAATTCATGATCTTTATTTTTCATATTTTGCCTTGGATCAAAAATATCAATCATTTATTCTCTCAATAAGATGTCACTCCAACAGTTAAAAATGTTTTCCATCACAGAATGTCAGTTGTTCACCTGATCCAGTTGTGTGCTGTAATAAATCTTAGACCAGAACTCCTGGGAACATTTATTAAATCAAAATCCATCAAGCCTAAGTAGACACCAGGGAATTCGGCTCTTATCTATCAATTATATGAAAAATAATGGGTGGGCAGTCACAAGATATCCTACTTCAAGGCTCATTACATGCTTGTTTGCTCATTTTCCACTTAAAATGGTAGCTGTTTGAATATCCTCCCTCTGCATTTTAGCTCTTCCAGGCTCTTACCCATTCTTTTTCCTAACAGCTAACCAAAAACCAAAATAAGAATTTCCAAAATTTCATTTTACAGTGGAAAATATGTAAGTGTCCATCAATGTGTAGAATTCATTGGACAATACTCAATGGTATTCAGATAATAATAATAATAATAATAATAATAATAATAATAATAATAATAATAAGTCAATCCTAATTTTCCATGAAATAAAAGCATGGTACCTGTCACATGCCTCAAATGAAAATGATGGTACAGATTGAAAAAAATTTATTTATCAAAGAGCACTATTCCTGGAGCAAAAAGTTTAAATTTGCAAAATTCTACAACCACAAAGAGATAGTTTTCAGGTCCCTGTTGACTAAGACTTAATATCATGCTAACTTTCTCTTTAATCCCTCTGGATAGACAGAAAACTGTACCATTTTCAACTTAATTATACACCATCACATTATTTTGTAATTAGAAAAACTTATGCTGTTCCCCAGTTCACTAAAAATCCCAAAGGCTCTTCCTTTGTGACGCTTTATTTTTAGGAGAATCTATTGAGAGAAAAGCTAATCCTTAACAGGCTACAGAAAACAACAGTTACAAAGCATGGACAAGATACCTACAATTTGAAAACATACAGTAATGCACTACAAAAACAACAATCACAAAACAAAATAAATTACCTTCAACACAGTATTATGCCATTCAATGCCATGTATTAGTGTAAAAAACTGTCTACCTCAAAACATATAATGAATAAATTCTTTTTTAATTAGCCCATCTATACCTTGGGCATGTACACTGAACATATTTATTTTCTTCTAAAATACAATCAATCACAAAGTCATGATTCTAATTTTAAAGAAAAAACCAAGTTGAATTATGAGCACACACACAACCACACACATTCAACCAGCCATGCTTCTCTTCTTCAAATGAATATTATTTGTCACATGGCAAAGTTATGTATATTGGGTATCTATAACCAAATCTAATCACTGTCCGAGTATGTCATCACAGCATATCACAATTACTTGCTGATGGCAATATTATCTTGTGTGTTTTATTCTAATTTGCAGCTCATGCTGTCATAAAATATAACAATCGCCGGTTCAAAGCTACATCAGCCTGACCGTGTTGAAGTCTAACTTCTTAGTCCCAAGTGACTTTCTCTTTCCACTCACTTGATTCTGCACTGGCTGCCATGCTAAAGGTTAGTGGGTATCAGACTTTTTTCTGTTTTTTTTTCATTGAGTGGTTTGTTTTAATCCATATATAGATAATTGTTAACCCCTTTTCAAATTGAAAAAAAAAAACATCTGCCTTATGAAAATACGGAATGTCCAAAACATTTTACAGAGAACCACAAGTGCATGCTTATTTCAGACTACCATGCTGCATTTTTAAATTATATCTATACATCTAAAACAATTCAGTACCTGACTAATAGAAAAGTATCCATAAAATCAATGGATCTATTTGTTGAGACTGAATGTCCCGCCTAATATATCAAACACTGTCACATTAAGCACTGTATCACAGTTAAAACACTAACACAAACAACGCCCTGACACACCTTATACACCATGTCACTCTTAACACAATGTCACTCTTTATTGCAATGCCACTCTCAACACAATGTCACTCTTAACGCAATGTCACTCTTTATTGCAATGCCACTCTCAACACAATGTCACTCTTAACGCAATATCACTCTTTATTGCAATGTCACTCTCAACACAATGTCACTCTTAGTGCAATGTAGCTCTTAACAACACAATTTCACTCTTAATTCAATGTCACTCTGAACACCATGTCACTCTTAATGCAATGTCACTCTTAAGAACACATTGTCACTCTTAACACAATGTCACATCACATAACTTACCTGCCAACATGGTCAAGTAGACCAGGTACATCCACTTCATAGACATTGGTTCCAGGAAGTTGAACAATGGGAATCTGCACTCAAATGAATCTCCAAATTTAGCATAAGCACTGGCTAATCCTCTCTCCTGGGGTATGTCCAGTACCATCAGGAATCCTGGCATATAAAGAAGAAGTATATTAGAAACAGAAATTATAAATGTGAATCTGTAATTTTGTCATCGATTTACAGAAAGTCCAACCAAGCAAGCCAAACCAACCAATCCCAACATTTTGGGGATTTGGGGTACAGGGAGTCCAAAATGTGAATTGGTAATTTGGTCATCAATTAACAGGGAGTCCAACCACAGCAAGCCCAACCAACCAACCAACTCCAAAAGTTTGTGAGATGCCCAGCTGTCCTTGAAAATATAGTTTTGTTTTGTTGTTGTTGTTTTATTTTTTTTAATGGCTATCCAAATGGCGGCTGCAAAGCTTTTTGCTTTGTTGGGGAAAGCGTTGTGGACTCATCTGAATCCTTGAATATGACATAAAAATATATTCAAAACTGAATAAACATTTGTGGACTCATCTCAACATTGGTAGAATAACATTATTCACTACTGACAGTTTTTCAAAAAACAAAATGGCTGATCCAGCCACCCCACCACAAAAAAGACTCTCTGTGGACCACAGATTCATATTTTATACATTCTAAATTTCAACATGATTTAAATCTTGGATGAAGTTGCATATTCTAAATATTTCTGAGCTGCCCCATCTTCATCTTATTTGAACAGTCTCAACAACAAAAAAAATAATTAAAAAAGACAGCTGTTACATAATGAACCCAATCATCATTACATAAAGAAAAGGTAATCGACCATCAGAACAAAAGACAGATCACTTTATCTCATATGAGAAAATGTACATGTTTGGGATTAACATCTCATGAGATGCAAGTATTCAGATCTTGAAATCATTTGGATGATTAAATACTAACAAAGGCCAAATCATTCTGCTCAGATTGCGGTCTTTTCATTCCTGACATGACATTATCTTATGACGTGATTGAAGCTGAGTAGTGGGTGGTGTGGCAGAAATATGAGAAATCCCAGGCAAACAAATAAAATACAGTCTATGTCTGTGCGTAGAAACATTTATCATATTTTCACTTATCATTCCTAATTATCACCTCTTAATGTAAAAAAATAATTAAAATGAAAATTTTATAAACACAAAGAAAATCTGTGGAAAAAATGAGCTCTAAAAAAGAAATATATTAAATCCAGTCCTGGTCTACTTTAAAAATAAGCATAGCTGATTTCTTTCCAGAGCAATATCAGATCAACACTAAATGCAATTTCTTGTTTAACACAATTTTGTTGAAAAAAGATAACTACCAATTTGACCAAGTCAATAAGACGTTCATGACAAAATGTGCAAAACATTTCAAGGGCAGACAGGAGACATTGCTAAATAATCTTTTAGGTAAGTCCTATACCTCAAGACTTGGTGTGAAGATTTCTGATCAATAAAAATGATGAACTGCTAAGTAATTGCAATCTGCTACACAGGCAATACCACTATAGTTGATAAACGAGATGTTATTTAAACCCAGTACAAAAATGCCTAAGAGCAATTATTTATCACCCCTTCATAAGTCTGAGTGGGCAATCAATGATTGTGAAAGATGAAATTTTAAGGCGGATGCCTTGATTTTGTGGCCTGAACTCTTTGTAAGTTCGGTTTTAAGACTTTTAAGACTTGCAAAAGTACAAATATTCTGGGTTCATGTTGTAAAAGGGATGTTGATGACACAATGACACAATGGCTATAGTTTGTGTACATGCCATCATGTACAATATCGTGTATTAAGCTGCTCTCCCCTTTCCCATAAAAAAAAATTATCACATTTTTATAAGGAAAAATAAGGTTCTCGGTTTTTAAGGCTCTATTCCCATAGATTTTAGATCGATCTATCCCCGCGGGGAGTCTCACTAGATTACTTTCAGATAATCCGACTTAAATGTCTGTCCCGCCTACTACAAGCTGTGAGGGGGTAATTAACTTTCGTGTCCGCCCGGCTGACAGCTATTTAGCGTGAACCCCCAGGGAGTTAGGTCGATCTAAAGTAGGTCGATCTAATCTATGGAAATGGGGTGCTAGAGAAGCAAACATCTAGTTGAACCTGATATTGGCTGTTTGATGTGAAGTCTATTATAAAGCCATTATCTCATCCACTTGTGAAATCTATCTTGTAAAATTATTTGTCCGAAACAGACTGAATGTGGTAGACTTTGTCACACTTTGTCATGTAGAACTCTTAAAAGTAAATCATATCTATTTATTTTAGCCTAAATTAAAGAAAACACTATTGATTCATGACCAAAGATAAAAATAAAATGTCTTCTCTTTTAAAAAATCACAATGTAACAAAACAAACAAATCTGATTTTTTTATCTGACCATAACATGGGGGTAAAGAGCTGTGACCTCTAGACTGGGCTGCAAAATGTATTTTTACTTCTTGTGCAAAGCCAATGCATAATGCATTACCACTCTCAAAACCTGTCTCCATGGTGATGAGATTAAATTTGTTTGAAAAATACCAAAGTTTTTTTTTTTTTTTTTTTTTTTTTTGATATTTTTCTTCTCTACGATTGTTTAAGGGCAAGTGTGTGCATGGATGGTTTCAGGTGTAAAATGTGTCAGTGCGTATAATTTTTTTTTTTTTACTGGCAGCATTACACATGCATGACCTTGTGTGAGTATGTAAACATAAGTGCACGTAAGCATGGATTTTTTGTGCAGTTCTGTAATTTGGGCATTCAACATGCATAAACACCAAATGAATCCTTGACTCTACAAACCCTTATTTACCACAGTTGACCTCTAAGCACAGATTTCTGGGGCAAGCAGAGGAGTGGGAAATTTAATAAGGGTTTCATGCCAGTTCTTTCACTGGTAGACCTAATAAGAACCTTCAACAGAAACCTTGTGGCTCTTGAAACCTTGTGGCACAGACAACAACTCTGCTAAAATACAATGCACAGATCTTACAAACATCCTGACCAATTTGAATTTAACCTTAAAAGCATCCATGACAAAGTGAATCATTAACTAGAGAATTAAGCCTGACGGTAATCCATGATGTGTAGTTTGTGGGCTGTGAGAAGTAATTACCATATCCTGTCAAGACTATAATAGACTATAATGTTGTGCCATGTTCTACTGTATTAGATCACTACACTGTATGAGATTAGCTGGCGGCGGATGGGTTGCAGACGTGACCAAGATAAGAAATGAGACAGCAAGATCAAGGAAGAACAGAAAAGCAAATACAGTAAAGCATTTAAAAGAACTCAACTGATACATTGTATCTTCTATGTAAGAAAAGCATTATATAAATTAAGGGGCCCGCACACGGTGAGCATTTGGCGTGCGCCACTTGCGCTGTGCCATTTTCTCATCGTGTGCAGGGCTATTTTGGTGAGATTTTTGCCTCTCGCGCGGCTGAGCAAAATATCTCACGTGTTTGATATTTTTGGTCTCTTCAGGCAAATGTCTCAGCGTGTGCGGAGTGCAAGCGCCGATTGCTCACGCCATGCCAACAATGCGCATGTGCCAGTAGCCGGAAACAAAGAAAAATGGCAGCCTCCAGCAAAGTAAACAAAAATGTACACAGTTATAGTTAGTCTGATTGATTAACGTGGTCACCATTTGCCATTACTTTCAGAAAAAAATAAATATGTAATGTTTCCTTAATCACATGATCCCACAGTTCGCGGTGCGTCCAATAGGGGCAGGCCGGGAGGCATCTCTGCTGAGCAAAGAGCGCATCGTTTGCGGGGAGCTGAGGAGCGCGAGCATCTGGGGCAGCCAAGTGGCGCGCGCCGAATGCTCACCGTGTGCGGGCCCCTTAAGGCTTCTTAAAATATAAAGCACAAAATCAGTTAATTGATTCTCCCCAATCAAGGTTTTAATACTGGCATTCTCTGCAATGAGCTCTGTAATCTATTTATGACTTTCAGATTATTTTGCATTTTAAAGGGTTTTTGAAGTTACTATTTGACTTAAACTGTAAAAACAGTGCTTTATTATTTCTCTGTCATGTCTAACCTGACCCATTAAAAATACAACAATTTTTGTCACATACACTGTAGCTTAAAAGTTACCTTCATACAATTTAAGAGACACAGTTACTGCATAAGCAGAGATGCATGAAGACTGTACTGTGGTAATCATTTTGTTCAAATATAGAGTGATCTGTACAAATGAAGTGAAAAGAATATGTGACACTTTTAAGATGGGAATCAACCAAAAGGACATCATCACTAAGGCTTCATTCACATGCAATGTCTATTTTCTAAATTCTATTTTCTATTCGCGGTATGTCTTATGATCACGGTTTGTGCCCTTAATATCCCGCAGCGTAATTACTGGCAGCGCGAGCCAGTTACTTATAGTAACTTATAGTAACTGGCTCGTGCTGCCAGTAATTACGCCGCGGGATATTCAGGGCACAGACCGTGATCATAAGACATACCGCAAATAGAAAATAGAATTTAGAAAATAGACATTGCATGTGAACGAAGCCTAAGGCTTCGTGCCACAATCTTAAATCAAAGTATGAAGAACTTAAGTGCTGTTTATGTGCTTCAGTTAACATGCCTGATCATTTGTCAATCCATATAGATCTTAGCATTAGAAATAAGATTAGCCTGACTACCACCATATGGCCATTCATTCACAGAAATAATTTCCTTAATAATCTCCATTTCAGATCCTAATCCAAATACTCAATAAACTACATCCTTGGGAATATTTCAAAGAAAATCCTTAGAATTTAAACACCTCTGAATGGAAATTATTGATTTAGAAGAAGTGCTCCTAGAAATAACCCGCGATAATAACCACATTCAGGGACTCCAATTCCTTGCAGAGAGTGACAGACCATTTCACTGGAATCTGTGAAAAGTAGTTTTTCTGTTGGTCATGCCAACATGAAAAAATAGCCACCTGGGCTACATGTGAACCTTTTGGGGTACAGTAATCTGAACCTTTTTCATAGTAACTTGTGTCTCATGTGATAATGTGGAGGACCTGTTGGGTTTCTTTATAAAACAAAGCATTCAAAAACTATCAAACACTGCTCCAATGAACCCTTCAAAACATATTTTTTTTTACAAAATGTAAATTTACCAAAAAATATATATTAATGGTTCCTACATTGACCTGTAAATTTTTAAAACCAACTTTCAGAAAAGAATTCATTGTACTTTTAGCATCAAGCAAATTTTACAGTTCAGCTAAAAAAAATTCTGAGTGAGCATGATCTTTATTGTCATGAAGCTGTATATTGATGTATAAATTTAGAAAGATCATGACTCCAACACACGATAATACAACATGTTACACAATACATCTAAGATTTCAACATGATACCATGTGAATATAGCAAGGATTTCCACAATTTTTTGTTGGAGAATTAGTTCTCTGTAAAACTGTTGTTGGTTGTTTGCTTTTCTATTTTTGTTTGCTTGATATTTTTTTCTTTCTTTTTTCCTTATTTCATTCTTTATAATTGCTGTTTTGT